GTAGCTTCAATTTTTTTTTTTTGAAAGATTTATTTATTCATTTATTTATACAAGCACTGGGTAGTACCAGTCAGAAGCACGGGAGGGTGAGAGAATTCATCAGAGCCAGAGCGGAGAGCAGAACAGGCAGACTGACAAAGTACACTGCTGAGGGGAGCAGCGGGCGGCAGGAGAGGTCTGCGCGCCATGTGAGACCCTCACCCGGAGATCGAACCAGTGCTACAGAGGCTGCGGGCAGCTTCGCAACCCAGCGCTCAACTGCTGCGCCACTGGGGAGGCCCAGTCTTCAATTTTTTGACTAATTTTTATTGTGTTTTGTTTTTCAAAGGTGATGTAGTCATCGAAATACAAGCCCTTTATGAGATAGATTGTCAGCAATCACTTTCTCCAGTATGTGCACCATCTTTAATGGTGTATTTCAAGAACAGCATTAAGTTTTTATTTTTTTTTAAAGATTTATTTATTTTTGCATACAAGAACTGGGGTACAGATCAGAGGTGCCGGGGGGGGGGGTTGGTGAGAGGATTCACCAGAGACAGAGTGGGGAACAGAACAGGCAGATTGACAGAAATATGCTGCTGAGGGGAGGAGCGGGCCAGTCAGGAGAGGTCTGCTGCGGCATATGGGTTGCTTCCTGGCTGGTCGGAGGATTGAACTGGTGCTGCAGAGGTTGCGGACAGCTTCATAGGTTGTGTCTTAACCCTGTGCATCACCAGGGAGGCCCCTCAAAAACAGCATAAGTTGGGCCTCCCAGGTGGCGCAGCGGTTGAGCGCTGGGTTGCAAAGCTGCCTGCAGCCTCTGCAGCGCCGGTTCGATCCCTGGCTGCTCCCCGGCCACCAGAGGAGGGTCCCACATGGCGTGCAGACCTCTCCTGCCGCCCGCTGCTCCCCTCAGCAGTGTACTTCGGTCCTTCTGCCTGCTCTGCTTCCTGCTCTGGCTCTGGTGAATTCTCTCACCCTCCCGCGCTTCTGACTGTACCCAGTGCATGTATAAAACAAACAAACAAACAAATAAATAAACATGCCTCTATAAAAAAAAAAACCAGCATAAGTTTTTAATTTGATACACAATTTATTGTTTTTTCCTATCTTGTTTAAGGTGCTTATTGTAAATAACAATTTTTTCCTTCTAAAAGTTATAAACTACCAGATTTTACATTCTTTAATGATTTGCATTTCACCTGAGGTAAAATCCAAGCACCTTGCCTTGCTCTATGAGTGTGCTCCATGATCCTAACTTCTCCCAGTTTCTCCAACCTTACCCAATGCCACGCTCCCTTTGTCCACTGCTGACCACTCAGCTGGCCTTCTGACCTTTTCCACACACTGCCAAACACCGTCTTCCCCAGGAGACAGTGTATGTGTGTCCTAGCCTTGACTAGTTTGAGGAGAATTACCAGAAAACAGAGGAAAGTTATGGTTTGTGATGTGTCTTGATCATTAACTTGCTTAGCCGGTTTTGAAGCATTTCACAAAAGATACAAAGAACCTGCTGTAAATAAAGGAGCAAGCCATGGGACTTGGGGGGAGAGCACCACAGACTGAGGCTTGGTGTTTTGAACCATCTGTTGTAGCTTTCTCTCTTACCTTCCTTTCAATCAGAAAGGACCCTTCTAGCGCAGACTGTAACTCTGCCATTTATTTTAAAGCCAAGTCCAGGGATACCTGTGCTATCACACAGGTTATATACTGCACACCTCTAGGGGGCACCATTCACGTGTGCTTGTCGGTTTGACTGTTTCTTACGACAGCTTTCCAGCAGGTGGCAGTAAAGTTCTAGCGGACTGAGTGGCTTTTTCTAAGTTGCACAAAGGGTAGATTTGCATTTAGGCTAATGTGTTCTTTGTCTTTTTCCTTCTGATACATCAAGGTCTTTTTTCTCTCTGGGCTCCAGCCTTATCCTCTAAGCTTTTCTTTCTTTTTCCATCTTTTTTTCAAATATTTCAAATTTAAAGAATTGGAAGCATACTACAAAAAACTTCCGTAACCTTCACCCTAGTTTACCAGTTATTAACATTTGGCTACATTGCTTTATTACTCCCTCCCTCTGTGTATACATGTATTTATTTCCCTATCCATGTAAGAGGTGTTTGTAAACATCCTGCACCCCACCCCCGATTCCTTTACCCCTAAATACTTCAGCATGTGTTTCCTTCAAGCAGGAATTTTGTTTACACAGCAACAGTACACTTACCAAATTAAGGAAATTTAACATTGATACAGCCCTTTTATTACTTAGATGTTCTATCTTCAAATTTTTGTTCTAATGATTCTTTTATGGCTGTTTTTACCTCTTTAACCAGTCTCCTCTGGTTAAAGTCTGGTCACACTTTGCATATATATATATATACATGCTGTCAAGTCTCCTGTTCTCCTTTACTCTGAGATGCCAGTTGTTTTGAAGGCTGCTACTCAATCTGGATTTCTCTGGTATGTCTTCATGAGATCCGGGTTATATGTTTCTGAAAAGGATGCTGTAGAAGTGGCGCTGTGTTCAGAGTGCATCGTGTCAGGAGACACATGGTGTCAGACTGTTCCGTTACTGGTACCGTTGATCCTTTAAACATTCTGTGTTGAAACTGTTCTTGCAGTCCTAAGAACTCTGATTATAGGACATCTGCTCAGTGTTTGCTCTTGTAAGAAAGAGCATTCCTTCAGCAGTCTTTTTCCAACAGGTGAGCCTAAGTTCCTCCCAGTTCTTGCTGTGCTTTATGGAATCACTCTCTGGACCTCTCTACTTTCCATCAGAAATCATAATTCCTCCTCTTTTTCAGTAAGTCACATCCCCTAGCCAGAATCTGTGCGTCATCTACAATGTCTTCTATACAATCAACATATCTTTAGTGCTTTCTTAGTTTCAAGTTCAGTTCCTTTGGCTCTAGCAAGGCTAGCAAGGCTAGGGTTCAGAGGGGAGAGTCTATAACTGAATATGGGGAAGAACTAGGTGCCAGTTGGTTACCTTGAATCAGATATAAGTTCATTTTACCCTCAATCACATTCTTCCAGGCTCACCATATTTTGATTATAGTTAAAATATACAAGACATTTGCAATGCTAATAAGCATTCTACATATATTAGCTTTATGTATTCCTTAAAACTACTCAAGGAAATAGATGCCACTTTTTTCATTTTACAGATGAGAAACAGGTTTGGAAAGATTAAGACTATATGACTAAATGAACAATGATGTAAACTATATATATATATATAAATAAATTTTTTTAAAGTACCAGGACTTAAACTCATGTCTCTCCAACTCTAAAGCCTTCTTTCTTCTCTTCCTCATAAGCAAAGAATAGCACAGAGATTGTAGTATGGCTTTTAATGTTAAAGTCAGTGTTTACATATTGAAATTCAAGAATAATAATGTCTTCTAGAGATAATTGTTAGCAGCTTACACCCAGAGCTTTTGAGGTATCTTTAAGTGGAAGAATTTGAATATTTCCAGTTTGATGTCTCCAACCATAAGCCCCACTTGCCTGGGACAGTCCTGGGTTTATACGTATTTCCTAACAGTTATTAATAACATTGCCATTTGTTTTAAAAAGTACCATGGTTTAGGGCCTCCCTGGTGGCACAGCAGTTGAACACTGGGTTGCGAAGCTGCCCGCAACCTCTGCAGCGCCAGTTCAATCCCCAGCCACCGGGAGAGGGTCTCACATGGCGCACAGACCTCCCCTGCCGCCCACTGCTTCCCCCAGCAGTGTATTTCGTCAGTCTGCCTGTTCTGCTCCCTGCTCTGGCTCTAGTGAATTCTCTCACCCTCCTGCGCATCTGGCTGTACCCTGTGCTTGTATAAATAAATAAATAAATCTTTAAAAAAAAAAAAAAAAAGAAGTACCACGGTTTAAATAAATACATGACCCCCTACCTATGATCTGACTGAGTTCTCTGCAGATTAACAAACACTGGTGTTTTGTTATGCCTGACACAGCTGTAGCCTGTTCTGCCACCACCCCAATTTATGCATTTCAGCTTTGGTTTGTAGTCTCTTGACTTAGCTAATTTGTAGGCATCGTTTGCTTAACTTAGTCAACTGTCATCAAGATTTTACCACACTTGCTATATCATCCTTTCTGCTGAATTTTTTTTTTTAAAGATTTATTTATTTATTTATTTATACAGGCACTAGGTACAGTCAGAAGTGCGGGAGGGTGAGAGAATTCACCAGAGTCAGAGTGGAGAGCAGAGCAGGCAGAAGGACTGAAATACACTGCTGAGGGGAGCAGCGGGTGGCAGGAGAGGTCTGCTTGCCATGCGGGACCCTCCTCCAATGGCCGGGGAGCAGCCTGGGATCCAACCAGCACTGCAGAGGCTGTGGGCAGCTTTGCAACCCAGCGCTCAACCGCTGCGCCACCAAGGAGGCCCTGCTGAAATATTTTTAATGACACTTTACTCCCAGTAAAGTTACTTTATTTCAGTAGCCATCTCTAAAAAAAAATTTCCTAAATTATTATTTTTTTTAAGATTTGTTTATTTTTATACAAGAACTGGGGTACAGGCTAGATGCGCGGGAACGTGAGAGGATTCCCCAGAAACTGAGTGGGGAACAGAACAGGCAGACTGACAAAATACACTGCTGAGGGGAGCAGCGGGTGAGACAGGAGAGGTCTGCTTCGCCATGTGGGATTCTTGCCGGCCGGGATCGAACCCACACTGCAGAGGCTGCAGACAGCTTCACAGTGCAGCGCTCAACCGCCTGCGCCACCAGGGAGGCCCAATTTCCTAAATTGTTATTAACCTATCCAGAAACCAGAGGAACCTTTTGCAGTGTGAATGACACTGAACTGCAGTTGAATGGAATGGTTTGAGCTGTACTGAATGTAGTGAAGCCATGATGGAATTTGATTTTCATTTGTCAGGTTGTTTGAAAGTGGGGAGCACCTGGACTTGCATGCTGGGATGATCCTCCTCAGGCAGGCAGGGCGCAACCAGGGGGCAGTCCTGGCCTGTGGCTCACAGGTGTTCCTGTAACTCACATGCCCTCTTCTTTTGGCAGTGCATGACCTGATCTTCTGGCGAGATGTGAAGAAGACCGGGTTTGTCTTTGGCACCACGCTGGTCATGCTGCTTTCGCTGGCAGCATTCAGTGTCATCAGCGTGGTTTCTTACCTCATCCTGGCTCTTCTCTCTGTCACCATCAGCTTCAGGGTCTACAAGTCTGTCATCCAAGCTGTACAAAAGTCAGAAGAAGGCCATCCATTCAAGTGAGTTGAAGTTATCCCAAGTAGCCACGTACAGTTTGGTGAAGGGTTTCCTTGAGGCTAGGCAGCTGTAAGTCAGGCCTAACTAAAAGTTACGAATGCATCTGATCGGTGGCATGAGACATCAACTAGAAACCTCAAGACCAAGGAAGTCACCAAGGAAGGACCCAAGAACTTTTTAACAAACTGGAGGTTCACACTTTTTTTTTTTTTATAGAGACATGCTTTTTTTTTTTTTAATTTATATTTATTTGGTTGTTTGTTTTGTTTATACATGCACTGGGTACAGTCAGAAGCGCGGGAGGGTGAGAGAATTCACCAGAGCCAGAGCGGGGAGCAGAGCAGGCAGAAGGACCGAAGTACACTGCTGAGGGGAGCAGCGGGCGGCAGGAGAGGCCTGCGCACCATGTGGGACCCTCCTGTGGTGGCCGGGGAGCAGCCGGGGATCGAACCGGCGCCGCAGAGGCCGCGGGCAGCTTTGCAACCCAGCGCTCAACCGCTGCGCCACCGGGGAGGCCCAGGTTCACACTTTTTAAGGCCAAAGAGGAACATCTGGGTTCCTGAGCCAGGTGGGGCCAGAAGAGCATCTAGGACAGCGCTTACTATCTCTGGCCTCCTGTGGGTTTTTTAGCACCATACTACCTTCTTTTTCATTTTGATATGAAATATGTATATATCTGTAAATATTATTTCAAAAATAGATCGTAACTAAATAAAGGAGTGATAAAATAGCCATTTATAATAAAATAATGTATTTCAGTCAATATTGAATGGCTTGGACATGATCATGCTCCCCCCAAAATAATAAAGACTTCATGTATTTGTTCCTTCATATAATCTCCAGCTGTAGTTTTTCCAAAATAGTGTAGAACTCTTAGTAAAGTTTTAGCATTAAAAGAATGCAGTTTTAGGAAATTCAGGACATAGTAAAATGGAAGGAAGAAATGCCTTGCTTTTGTATGTCATGGCTCCTGATAATTCTAAACAGGTTCACCAACAAGCGTATCTGGTGAGGCAGTGAAAGTTACACAGGACATAGAAGAGTTCTTTATTGGGCATGACTACCCCAAACTTTCAGACATCTGGCATATTTGTGCCATCCCATGACAGCAAAAAACTGCCCCTCCAGATTTCTAAAACATACCTTTGGAGGAATTTCATACTGTGAACAACCGCTATGCTAATAGGAAGAAATCTCCTTCCATGTGAAATAAATGACTGTTGTTTCTTCTTCTGGAAGAGCATACCTGGATGTGGACATCACTCTGTCCTCAGAAGCCTTCCACAATTACGTGAACGCCGCCATGGTGCATGTCAACAGGGCCCTGAAGCTCATTATTCGTCTCTTTCTGGTGGAAGATCTGGTTGACTCCTTGAAGGTTAGTTCCTTCTATAATGTTTGGTGGTGAGGCGAAGGGAAGCAAGGGACCTGGGTCCTGTAGTCGGAGGAAAAACTGAACACAGGGTTTTATCAGACAAAACAATACATGCTTATCTCAGCCTTTAAAATGGGGATGGGAGTCTATAGAGGAGGCATCTCCTGCCCTCAGAGAAATAACATCACAACAGTGATAATGAATTGACAAATAAAGTTACAATTTGTCTTTTGGCCTAAGAGAACAACAGAATTCTCTATGCACCCTCAGATGTACAGGTAACTTTCATTTTGAAATTACCACTAAATCTATGCAGACTTAATTAGCTAGCAGAGAATGAGATCAGTTAACCTCAGTTTTGTGTTCTGATAACTCCTGCTTTTACCCCTAATGTTGGCCTTCACAGCTGGCTGTCTTCATGTGGCTGATGACTTATGTCGGTGCCGTTTTCAATGGAATCACCCTTCTCATCCTTGGTAAGGTGGCAGGAAGAATTTCTCCATGTTCTTTGAAGTAATTGGTAGGAGTCAGAGTAAAGTGAGTGCCCAGCATGACTCTTCTCCTTCCACGTGGCCCAACCTTTAACATCTGTGGGGACCTCAGACTTGATAGTGGAGAATCACAGGCTTAAGAGCTAGTCCTAACTACAAAGAAATACTAAAACAGCTAGAAGTAAAGGAGAATCGTGTAGATTTGCCTTAAATATGGGATCTTTCTTTGTAGAAATTGTTTTCATAAATTGGAAATTGTTGTTTGTGGTATAAGAAGGCAGCCTGGTAGCTATATTTCACTATCCTTTAATTGAGAATTCTAGCCAGGAGTTTTTGATTGAAGATCTATTTCCTTATATTTTACGAGGAAAATAGCTATTCTTAAATTCAGAACTACACCCTGAATTTCTCATATTGAAGATTTGTATTTCCTGTATTTCATGAAGGAAAATGTGTCCTTTGAGACTTTGTGACACTCACATTCACTCGTGCCATGTCCCACTGTTCTCTTACAGCTGAACTGCTCGTGTTCAGTGTCCCAATCGTCTATGAGAAGTACAAGGTAAGCACTTGTCTGCTTCAAATCAGATAAACCAGCTGATATATGACTAGTTTTAGTTCATTTTTTTAGGCATTGAAATATTTTTCTAACAATTTCTGCCATCTAATTTTGTTAAGTGCTTGTAAGGAACTAATAATAGTGTTTCCTCCAAGAAAGAAACTGAGTGTCTAGGAGAGATGAGGGTAGTAAGGATACTTACTTTCTATTCCTTGTAGTGTACCTTTTGAGTTTTATCACATTATCTATTTAAGAAAAGAACTTGAGGGCCTCCCTGGTGGTGCAGGGGTTAAAGGTAGTGCTGTCAAGCTGTCACCAGCCACTGCAGCACTCCCCAGCCAGGGAGGTGACCCATGTGGCGCAGCAGACCTCTCCTGTCTTGCCCACTGCCCCCCTCAGCAGTGTGTTTCAGTGGATCTGCCTGTTCTGTTCCCCACTCTGTCTCTGGTGAATCCTCTCACCCCCAGCTCTGGCCTACACCCCAATTCTTTTTTTTAAAAGATTGATTTATTTATGCATACAAGAACTGGGGTGTAGGCCAGAGGAGCGGGGGGGATGAGAAGATTCAACTGAAATATACTGCTGAGGGGAGCAGCAGGCGAGACAGGAGAGGTCTGCAGCACCATGTGGGTCAGCTCCCTGGCCAGCCGGGGTTCGAACTCGTGATGCAGTGGCTGGTGATTGCTTGACAGCGCTGTGTCTTCAACCCCTGCTCCACCAGGGAGATCCTATACCCCAGTTCTTTATGTATGCATAAATGAATAAAAATAAATCTTTACAAGAAAATGTGAAAAAATGGTTAAATAAATAAGTGCTGGGTTTCTAAAAGAAAGGTAAAGCCCATTGAGGCTATTATGGGATTCCATCAGTGTGAGCAGGACGTATGCTTATGGGTTGTTGTCTAGAGTATACTAGGCACTATGAGGTTATTCTCCATGGATTAACTCCTCCATTGAAGACTTCCTATTTTTGCTATTTTGGTATTAAAAATTCGTCTTACTCAAAAACCATGACACATTTGTGATTATAGAAAATAAACTAGACACACAGTTCCTAGTACTCAGAAAACTGTGTCTAGAGGAAAGTCCTAGCAAGTAGGACTTAAACTCTGCAAAAGAAACAAGTGGCTTTTACTTTTTAATAGCGTTTGGGGCATTTATGGCATAATTTGAAGTCTAAAAATTTAAGTTTTTTTAAAATACTTTTAAAAACTAGGCATTATTTTTCATTTAGTGGGTTTTTTTTTTTTTTTTTAATGGTTAAATTAGACAAAAGCACATTACCTTTGGGGAAATTGTTCATCTGTATGTTGCCACAACTGAGTTGCTCTCCTTCCTTAAAGACCCAGATTGATCACTATGTTGGCATCGTCCGTGATCAGACGAAGTCGATTGTTGAAAAGTAAGTGCACTTACACAACCCATTTCATCATGACAACGTACCCCCCGTTAGGGTTAGTCTCCTGTGTAAAATGCCGATGACAGAGAACATGATTCAATTCAATTATTTGATTTCACTAGAAATCATTTAGTCTGCTGCTTCAAAAAGCATCCTTTGTGTTGTAGATTAAAGTCAGGGCCACTCTGCCTTTTTGACTGGCTTTAGATGTTAGTGGTTGCAGTCTCCACCTTCATCTGCTTTCTTCATCTCTGTCAGTTTTAAGGCAAACTTCCCTCTCTTTTCAAGAGTAGAAGTCCTAGTAAACAAGTGACTTAAGGTTCAATACTGCCTCTTTTTTAAGACTACCAAACCTCTCTTTTCTTTTTTTAAACCAATAATCAAGTAATAAAAGATTGAGACACTTATAACTCTATGTCAAGGAACCATTTTCTTATTTTGTATTGTTTATAGCAGATATTAAGAACCTAACACTTCAAGTAAAATGTTAACATTTTTCCATATTTTCTTAAGATGTTAAGACACAAAACATCAGAAACCATTAAATCCCTTTTGTGTGTCCCTTCAACCCTAGCCCCTTTCCACACACCTGTATTTTAGTGCATTTTTCAGACTTGATAAGAGGACATGTAACTGTGTCCAAACAGCTCTGGCTTGATGCCAGGACCTGCACCTACTCTTTTGCTTTTTATGCATTGGAGCAAGCAGTTAGCAGCACGCACGTGTGTGCGTGCGTGCATGTGTGTGTTGCTGTTCACCTCACTTGTGAAGGGTGGTGGGAGTTTGGCTGTAAACCTAATGAACCAGTCAGCACTGAGCTGACTGGGGGCCCCTGCTGGGGGAGGTAACATTTGTGGAGAGTAGGTTTGACATTAGCTGTAGGGTAAGAATAATCTCAGTGATGGGTAACCCTAATGATTTTGGAAAACTTTTGCCAGAATAACTGGCCGTTCTGGTGCCCTGTGAAGGTCTGGGAACTACTGCCAGTTTTGATAGTTTGGGCCTTTTGTTTGTTTGTCTCTTTACACTTAACTGCTGGTTCCTTTTGTGGCACTAGCGGGTAACCTGGCATTCCCAGAGAAACGGACTCTTGTACTGCCAGTGTGTCTGGCACAGTCAGCAGGTATCCTGTCCAGATACCCCTTGTTCTCTGGAAACCCCAGGGAGGCACCTAGAAGGTTAGGGGCAGTGAAAGAGGATAGGCAGTGGGTCTTCGTGGCACCCCCAGGCTCATCCCAGGCCAGACTTGCCACTGCCTCTTTTTATCCAGAGTAAATCCTGTGAAGTGGGGAAACAGTGTTCACAGTGCTCCAGCAGGCCAGCCCTGTCTGCTAGTGTCACTGTTAAAATAAAAATCTAAAACAAATGCCCGTTTTACCTTTTTTTTCTCTTTTTCCTCAATAGGCTCCAAGCAAAACTCCCTGGAATCGCCAAAAAAAAGGCAGAATAAGTACATGGAAACCCGAAATTCAACAGTTACTAAAACACCATTTAATAGTTACAATGTTGTTACTTGTTCTATGAAGGAACTGCTCAGTGTCAGCTTGAGCCTGTGTTCCAAGCTTGTTATTTTTATTTGGTGTTTCTCCCTCCTTTCCCTTTTCCCTGCGCATCAAGCACAAGAATCGTTGGACTTAAAGAAAAAAAAAAAGAACTGATATCTTAGAACCCAAGAGAATAAAAAAAGAATCAAATTAATAGGATAACTAATACCTTACCGGTGGTGGAGCTTTTCCTTGTAGCTTGAAAGGGGAAGGATTGGAGGTACACGAGATTATGAGAGGAGACACATCCCTGGGCTGCTTCCATCCAGTTTTCAGAAGCGTGTCTTACACAGCTTCCCTTCATAGTTTTGCTCTTATTTTTAAGTTAAGAAAATGATTAACTTATGAAGACATGATCTTGGGGTAAGAGTTGAATTCCTTCCCATGGGTTTTGGGGTTGTTTTTTGGGGATTTTTTTGTGCTGCCCTCTGATCTCGGCTTCCCGCCCCACGATGTAAGCAGCTAGTCCTAATATTCCTCCTCGTACTGATAGAACTTTCAACTCTGTGAATAACGCATAGGGGATAGTGCTCACTCCTGACTCGGACTGGTGTCCCATAACCAAGAGTGGAAGCAGAAAGTGGCGCCGGAAAGGAGGCGGCCGGGCCGCTGGGACCCGCATCCCTCCCGGCCTCCCCGGGAAAGGAGCGCTCCCTGTGGGGAAGGGGGTGTTTGTGTCGTTTCTTTTGGACACCAGTTCTGAGTTAGTTCGAGGACTCGTTCCAGAATGTGCTTTCTTCCCTCTCCCCTACCCCCTCCCCTCAAGGTTAATAAATATGGTTGTACTTTTCTTATTATGAAATAAATGTCTGTAACTGCTGTACACTGCTGTAAACTTGTTAGAGAAAAAAACCTGCATGTGGGCTCCTCCGTTACCAAGTTTTTGTAATCCTATCTCAGTCCGAGTGGGGGGAACGTTCTCCAGAAGTGAACTGCAGAAACACAAAAGGCCTTTTTTCTTTCATCTTTTCCCTACAGCTTCCTCCTTCACATGCTCCATCTTTAACCTGGGCTGTCACTTTATCCTAAGGACCACAGCCTAGCAGCCGGCTGGAAAGGAGGCCTGTGTGTCTGCGGTTAGGCGGCCACAAGCCAGTGTAGTGAGGTGCATTTTGCGGGTCATTTGGAGTTTAAACTTTGAGGCTAGCTTATGGCTATGTTGTTTTGATGGTTCCTTTCGTTTTCAGGCACATAAATGTCTCCGCACCTTGCCCATGGCCCAAGGTGATCCTTTTTAGGGTGTTTTTCGAGCAGCTTTAAGTTAGGTCACCAGCAGGGCCAGATTATGGTGGTGGCTCGGTGCACGATTGAAAGACAGCAGAACAGCTCACGTGGGCAGCAGCTGGTTGGTGACTGGGAGTCTCATTCCCGTGTAAGAAAGTGTCTTCCTCCCCTCCCGACGTGAAAATGATGTAAACTTGAGAGAAAAGTCATCTGTGCGCTCCTGCGGGCTGTGCCTCGTGGTCGTGGTAACCCAGAGGCGACATCGCAGGTGGCTGAAGGGCTACGGGAGGGGCCCCAAGCAACTCTGTGGAGAGTCGTGATGTTCTGCTGAGGAGGGAGCGGCTACTTAGGGATTTACGTGGGAAGAGGTACCCTTGCCTTACTCCATTCTCTTATTTCTCTTCTTCCCCTTGGAATTTTTAAGCTGATTTCATGTCACAGTAGGAAGCGCCTTCTCCGCCCTCGCCCTCCCAGGAAGCCAGTGCCCGGGTCATCGGTCATCGCGTGGCTTCCCTCCAAAGGACCTTTTTCTGCACTGGAAGCTTCACACCTAGCTTGTTTGTTTTATTACTGCTGTGTTTAGATTATTGGACAGATCTTTGTGCCACACACAGGATTTTTTTTTTTTTTTTTTAAGAAAAACCTATAGGTGAAAAGTTACTAATGAAACTGCGTGAAATGTGCGTGCAACCTAAAAACACAGTAGCACCTAAGGAGCTTGAATCTTGGTTCCTGTAAAACTGCATATTGATGTGGTATTAATAAAAGAAAAACCAATGACTGTGGTGTCATTCTGCTAACTTTATTCTTTATACACAATTTGAGCAAAGTAAGAACCAAACAAGGGCTCCACTGGCCCCCATCCCCACTCCACTTTGAGGCTTTAAAAAAAGTGGCTAATAGTTGATACTGGTGTAATGATTCCCAAGATTGCAAAGTTTCCATAGGAGAGCAAAACATTTGGCTTCTGCAAGGAAGTAAGAGACCGTCTAAGAGGTGGCCTTAGGAGAACAATCAGGAGGAATGGACCGGGCCTGCGGGCTCTGCTGTCGAGCCTACCCCGCCCACAACCTCTGAATCCCTCACACTGCTGGGATGGAGCCAGCCACCATGGAGAGTGCGAGCCTCAGGTCTTCCCTGAAAGGATGTGTCGCCTCCCCAAGACTAAGGCTGCCGTGACCCTTAGGCTGGATTTTAAAAACTTACTCAACATACCTCTTAGAAAACTTAGGCTGAAATTTAAAAATAACTGATGCAAACAATTTCACAAATACACATACAAATGTTTGAATAATGTCACTAATATGGTATATAAATATGTTTCAGAGTAACATTTACATATTGGCCGTAATAGCAAGCATACCGTTAACTAAAGACTCATGAAGAAACTTCACCTGTTTGCGGCGCACACCTAGAATGGGGACCACCAGCCACTCCGGCCCCTACCCCGGGAGGCCACGGCGGCAGAGGAGAACCACTGGTGGCACGTCCATCGCTCAGACGGAGCCTCGAGGGTGAAGGGCAGTTATCACGGACTGCCAGGCCCATCACACCAGTTCCTGATTGTGGGGTAGGGCCCCAGAATCTACATTTTCATTATGTTCCTAGAGTGGTAGCTGCACTTTGAAAGCCACCCACAGCTATCTTTCATGAGGGCCTCCGTGCTGCGCACCTAAAGGCCTCGCCCTGCCGTCGAGGGGAAAGCCCGCTCCTACCCACACTCTGCCCTGGCCTACCTAAGCTGGACAGTGGGCTTGGGTGATCAGAACAGTTGCCCCAACTTACCTACTTCTTTTGAACAGGCAGGATAGCAAAAGTGGAAGAATACTCATTCTGGGTCTGAAAACATGCATGGAGGAAAGTAAAAGAATGGCAGTGCCCAGCCTGCTGCCAGCCACAATCCCTGTGCTCAAACTTTAATACTGTCTCAGAAACATGCAGGGAATTCACTTCTTGGCCAGGGCAGCCAGGGTTCCTGTTCCTGAATCCCCGGTGGCCTCAACAACCAAGAACACAACACCCAGAGTTCTCGTTCTACTGCAGGAGGCGCAGGGCCAGGGGCCAGTCAGACCTCTTCTGGGGTTCTGATGGAGGCCTGCACCCTCCAGCCCAAGCCTATGGAACCCTCACTGGGAACTGGGGGGCCCTGTGCTGTCCCCAGGGGGCACTACTGTGTGAGGGCCTGTGGCGGCTGCCATGTGCCATCCTTGGGCAGGCCTAACGGAAGATTTTTACAACCTGCCGGAGACTGGGAGGCAGTGTGGTGTGGTGCAAAGAACACTGAATAGGGAGTGGAGATTTCTACCCTAGTCCTCGGTGCTGTTTCCTACCTGGCTGTGTGACCAGTTCTGTTTCTGGGCTCCATTTTTTACCTATTTGTGGACGGGGTGGGAGGGGGCGGGTATTAGTTGATCTCCAAGGTCTTTCCAGCTGACAAGTTGAATTATATAAAAATGCTATAAAATTCGTGATATAAAATCCAATTCCCAATCAGGAAGCGTCAAGGGGACTGGGCCTGAGGCACTTGAACCTTGGGCTCTGGCCTGGGGTGACGAGGGGACCCTCAGCTGAGAGGAAGTGCTTCCTCTTTGCTCTCTGCTTTCCACCCACATGGGCAGCCCCTGGCCCAGGGGACCAGGACCTCTTCCCTTCCAAACCCAGCCCTCCAGCCCCTCCCACTGGCCCCCCCACCTCAGTCTTTAAGACCAGAGGAATTAGCCTGGCTAGGAGAAGAGCCCACCGGGGACCAGGGGCTGGAGGAGAGACCTGGGGCCTCACAATTAGTGTGGGCTGCTTGGGGTCCTCTCGTCGCCCCCCCCAGTCCTTGCTCCTTCCTTTAGGTCCTTCCTCCACCGCCTCACAGCTTATCTCTGATACACGCGTAATAAATAAGACATTTGCACATAGGGGTGGCGGGGACAGCTCTTCCCGTGCCTCCCCTTCATATAAAAGCATTAAATACAGTTTCAAAATAAAATACAAAGAGCAAAAAGGGCCTGATCGCGGGGCCACCTGTTCTCCACAGGAGAATGAATCTACACATCCCTCTCGGACCTGCCTGGGAGATCATGGGGGCCCCCTCTGGCCCCCCGGGGCCGGGCGCTGCGGCGGGAAGAGAAAGGAAGGCCGAGGCCCGGCCCCAGACCCCCGGGGCGGAGGACCGGCGGCGCGCCCACCGCGCACAAAGGGGGGCGGGGAGGAGGCGGGCTGAGCGCCCACGGCCGGGACCACCAGTGCCCCGGCTCGGGCCGACGGGGCGCTGCGGCAGGGGCGCCTGGCGGCGTAAACGGAGGCCTCCGCACAGGAGGGGAGCAAAGGAAAAAGTGCTGATCCCTTGACAAAAATCTCAGTTCGGGCGGCGAGCGGGGCCGGCGCGGGGTCGGAGCGGCCCAGGCCTGGCCCCGCCGCCGCCCGCAGTCCGGGCCTCCGGGGCCGAGCACCGGGAGCGGCACCGGGGAGCCCAGCCCGCCGGCGCCACGCGGCCCCGCCGGGGAGGAGCCGGCGCCGCCCCGCCCGCCCGCCCGCCCGGGCCTAACACTGACAGGCGCCCCATCCCCGCCCCGCGAGGACGGCGGCCGGCCGGGGCGCAGCTCCGCGGGCCACCGCGGGAGGCCGCCGGCGCCTCGGCCGCGCCCAGAGCGCACGGGCAGGCGCCCCCCTCCCCCCCCGCGCCCCCCCCGCCGGCCCGGCCCGCGGGGGGCGGCGGCCGAGCTACGCGCGGCACACGGCGCCCGCCTTGAGGTCCGCGCCGCCGTCGCGGGGCGCCGGCGCGGGCGGCCCGAAGCCCTCGTGGCCGTAGCAGCGCAGCGCCGCCTCCTCGTAGGCCTCCAGGATGGTCTGGCGCTCCTCGGGCGTGAAGTCCATAGAGAAGGGGTGCACCTGCAGGATGTGCCGCTTGATGGTGCTCACCTTGAGCGTGGCCAGCGCGCCCCCGCACACCATGCACACCAGCCCGCGCCGGCTGCCGTCGTAGTCCATCAGGTACTCGCCCCGCCAGCGCGGCTGGTAGTTCCGCCGCTGCTCGCGGCTGCGCGGCGGGGGCGGGGGCGGGGGCGGGGGCGGCGGCGGCGGCGGGAAGGCGAGGCCCCCCGGCTCGGGCGCGTCCTCGTCCTCGTCGTCGTCCTCCGCCGGCCGCTCCGACGGCTCCCCGGGGGACGGCGGGGCGTCGCCTGGGGAGGGACAAAGGGCCGCGTTGGGGCGGGCGGCGGGCCGGCCGGGCGGCGCGCGGGGGCCCCCGGCCCCGGGCCCCGCGCCCCCCGCGCCCCCGCGCGCGCCCCGCGCCCCGCCCGCGGCCGGGCCCGGGCCCCTCGCGGCCGGCGCCGGCCCCCCGCGGCTCACCCCGCCACGGCTCCTCCGGCGCCGCCGCCGCCCCGCCCCCCGCCTCGGAGGCGGCGGCTGTGCGGGGGCCGGCGGGGTTCCCGGGGGGCGCGGGGCCGGGCCGCCCCAGCGCCGGCAGCTGGCCGGCCTTCTCGCTCCACTCCCGGGCGACGAGGGCCCGGAGCGGGCCGCCGGGGCGCGCGGAACCCGGGGGGCGCCGGCGGACGGGCCGCTGGACGGGGCGGGCGCGGAGCGAGGCCAGCGCGCCCCCGCACGCCCCGCACACCCGCCCGCGCGCGCCGCCGTCCAGCTCCAGCAGGTACTCCAGCCGCCAGCGCTCGCGGGAGCGGCGGGGGGCGCGGCCCCGGCCCCCCCCCTCGGGCCCTCCAGCTCCTCCTCCGCCTCTGCGGGCCCGGGCCTCTCAGGGACCCCGCCAGCCTCTTCCTTTACGTCTGGGGGGCTGAGATCCCGAGAGGAGGGGGCTCCCGCAGCGGGGGCCGAGTCGTGGCTCTTTCTGGTCAGGTCCTGGGGGGCGAGGTCCTCGTCTGTTGGGGAAGGGGTGAGGGAGAGGGGCTCAGCCTGCAGGCTGTCTTGCCCTTACCCAGGCAGAGGGGGGTCCCTTGCGCCTCACCCCGGCCCCAAGCTAGAAGCCCCAGCCAGTAAGTGGAAGGGGGATTGAGTCCCTCCCAGTCCTGACCACAGACCCCACTTTGCTGCCCTACTATGGGGGGGGTCTCGGCCCTGGGAGGGGCCTCGCACCTGGTGGGGACTGGGTGAGCTCAGACAGTGCCTCGGACTGGCCCCCCCAGGCCTGCAGCAGGGCGCTGCGCTGGGGGCCGCTGAGCCCCAAGGAGCTGGGGTGCACCTCCAGCACGTGGGCCCGGATGTCGTCCAGGTGCAGGCTGGGCAGTGCCCGGCCACAGGCCATGCACACCAGCCGGTTCCCCCGCGGGTCATAGTCCATGAGACACTCTGCCCGGAACCAGTTCTGCAGGGACTCCTTCAGCCTCCGCTCCAGGCGCCGGGCACCCTGCCCCCTGCTGCCCCCAGCCCTCCGGGAGGCGGAGAGGCACCGAGGCCGAGCCGGGGGTGCCACTGGGCCCCCTCGCCGTTGGCGCCGGCCACCCCCACCAGCTGGGGTTTTGCCTGAAAGGGTTGGAGGGAGGGAAGGAACTGAGATGCTGGCCCTCTGGGGGAGCCCCCCACCACAGCCAGGTCCGCCACCAGCCTCTTCCTCAACTTGGAGCCTGCGGCCAAACCTCGGCCCCTTTCTCTTCTCCTCTCCGGTCTTCTCCTTCCAGTCCTCAAGCCTGCGCCCCCCACACCCTGGACCTCCCTTACTCCTCCCCAGACCCGGATTCTAGTCCCTTCCCTCACGCCACAACCACACCTTCCCATCACCCTCCACTCCCAGCCCTTCCCTGCCTGTCTCTCCAACCTCCCCCGTCTGGATTCTTCTAGAACCACCGAAGTCAAAGCTGTCAGGGATGTTGGCGTTCCCCTCACTACACAATAAGGGTAATGAGCAGACACCCCCACCCCTGAAAAGGAGCGGTGACTGGCTCAAGAACATCCGCTAGTTGGCAGAGATGCCAGGGCAGTCCCGGCTTGCCCCACCCGCCACCCAGACCCCTGCCTCTCCAGGTGTCCCGTTACCTGGGCCCTTGGGCGGGCAAGCTTGGAGGTGAGCCCCCTCCTCTTCCTCTTCTTCTTCTTCCTCCTCCTCCTCCTCAGCCCCCTGGGCCCCCAGGCCCTCGGCCTCTCCACAGGCCCCCAGCCCCAAGTGGGCATCCCAGCTGTTGCTGATGACTTCCTTCTCCCGCGGACTCCAATGCAGGGAGTAGGGGTGCTTTTGGCGGATGTGCCGCTTGATGGTGCTGAGCTTGAGCGTGGCCAGCGAGCTGCCGCACACCATGCACACCATGCCGTGCCGGGCCGGGTTGAAGTCCATCAGGTACTCCAGCCGCCAGTGGTCGTGGTAGTAGCGCCGGTGGTCACGGCCGGGGATGCGGCTCTTGCCGGGCCTGGACGCCCGGGCCTCACAGTGGTCTGAGTATTTCCTGCCTGAAGATGCTGGTCCCCTGGCCCTGGAGGAGGGCAGGGGGGCACTTCCCCAGGACCCCAAGGCACCCCCTTCCAGCTGAAGATCTGGCCCTGAAGAGGGGGAGAGGGAGACAGGTTTTCAATCTCCGATTTCAGGTAAAGAACCCTGGGCTTCGATTTTGCACCCCAAGAAAGGGAGGTGGGGGAGGGCGGATGGGGCCGGGAAAGGGATGGCCACGGCCATAAAGGGAGTCAAAACACTGGCCCTTCACAAAGAGCGGGGACCCTTTAAGAGAGAGTCAAGAACAAAAGGACGCGGGTGCTGTGAGGGACCAGCTCGGACTTCTTGAAAAATAAGGGGACAGCCAAGGAGGCAGTGGGCTTTGCAAGGTCCCCTCTTTGGCCGAGAGCTGCAGGGACAAGGCCAGGAGAACAGCATGCCGGCGGTGCAGCCAGAGCAGAGCGGGCAGCGGGGCGAGAAGAACAAAGGGGGCATCTGTCTGTATCCAGGGCTGCACAGGACCCACCCGTCCGAGGCCCCTGGGCGGTGAGGAGGGCCCCACCCAAAGATCATCTCCGGTTTTCCAAAAAAGCTTCAACCACAGCCTCCAGAGAGCCCCGTGGGGTGGAGGGAGGAGGTGTGCTAAGCCCTGTCAGTTTCCCAAATGTGAGCACCCTTGGGAGGGACCCCCAGACAAAGCTGTCAACACCTCCGGGGACCGGACTTTCTAGGACCCTGACTTCCCCGAGTCTCAGAGAGCTCAGGACTCTGAAGATGGGTGGGGTGGGGGGAGCCACAGAGGGGCTGGCTGCTCAAACACTGCAGGAGGGAGTGGCCACCCCCAGGCGGCCCATCAAGTCTTTCTGGTGAATTATTTTCTGCACTGGCCAGGAGCTGGCCACTGCCCAACAGCCAGAGGTGGGCCCCAGACAGCAGAACAGCCCACTCACCCAGCGACGCTCCCTCTTGCCAACCAGGGACCCCGACAGTCCGCCACCCTCCCTGCAGTTTGGAGGCTCTTTCATTCGGCCACGTAAGCCGAATGGACAGGTCTGGTCACTCTCCCCGGGGAGGGTCTCAGGGTGGGGAAACAAAAGGCAGGACCCGAGTGACCATTGTGTTTTTGCGGGTTTGGGGCTGACATGCGCCCACGAAGAGGCACCGGCGTCTGAGTCAGAGACCTGGGTTCAAGTCCCGCCTTCACGGGTAACTGGCTTTGTGACCTCTGGCGGGTCACGTCGGCGCCGGGGCCGAAGCTCTTTGTCTGCGGGGCCGGGCGGGCCGCCGGCCTCGAGCATCCCTCCGGCGCAGGAGCGCGCGCGTCCGCGGGGACGGGCCCTTTAAGAGCCGACGGGGGGGCGGGGCCGCGAGTCTTTAAAAACAAAAGGGGCCGCGAGTTTCGGGGCGGGGAGCCGGGGTGCGCCAGAGTCTCCCAAGTCCGCGCGGGCCCGCCCGGCTCTGCAGGCGGGACCCCGGCGGGGGGCGCCCCGCAGCGGCCCCGGCGCCCCGGCGAGGGCGGGCCGGTCCCGTAAAGCGGACAAATTGTGGCAAATTCTTTTCAAAAGAGGGGAGGGGACGGGCGCGGACGGGGCCCGAGGGGCGTCCTCCTTTGTGGGCGAGCCGTGCCGGGGGCGCCCGCGCGGGGCCGGCGCCGCGGGCTCGAGGCGCAGCTGCGCCCCCGGGCGCGCCGGAGGCCGGCGGCGGGACGCCCGAGCCGGGCGGGGTCCGGCCCCGCTCCCCGGGGCCGGGCCCCGAGGGGACCCCTGGCCGGGGCACAGCGCGGGGCCGGGGGTTCGGGCGCGCGCCGGGGCTCGGAGAGAGCGGGGCGGGGGCCGCGCGCCCGCGGCCCGGGGCGCGCCGGCCGGGCCTGGGGACGGGCCCGGGCCCTTTAAGAGGGAGGAGACCCGCCGCGGCCCGCGGGCCGACCCCGGGCGCGGGGCGGGGGACACCCCGGCGGCCCTGCAGCCGCGCGCCGCGCCCGCCAGGTGGCGCCCCCGGCCGCCCTGCCCGCGTCCCCCCCTTTGTTCGGCGGCGAGAGGGGCCCGGAGCCCGGCGCCGCAGCCCGCCCCTCCCCCACGCGGGGCCCCCGCCGCCGGCGCTCACCTCCGTCGTCGTCCTCGGGGTCCGCGCCGCCGCTCGATCCCGCGGGCGGCAGCCGTCGGCCCCGTGCCGAGGCCGCTGCTGGCCCGGGGCCGCCCCTGCCGCCGCCGCTCCGGCTCCGGTGGTCCCCGCCGGGCTCCATGCGCTGCGCTGCGGAGCGGGGCCCCGGGGCGGCGGGGCGCGGGGCCGCGGGGCCGGCGGCGGCCCGCGCGGGGCGCTCGGTGCGCGGGGCCCCGGGGCGCGGGGCGCATGCACGGGCGGCCGGCCGCACGGACGGCTGCTGCTCGCTCGGCGGCGCGGGCTGGACCGGGGTGGGGATTCCTGTCTGGGGCCCCTGGGGCTCCTTTAAGGGCTCCTGGGTAAATTTAAAGGGGCCGCGCGCTATTTCCTCCTGCCAGCTCGCGGGGGGCTGGCGGGGAGAGGCGGGAGGCGACGCGCCGGACCGAAGCTCCGCAGCCGGCGCCCGCCCCGGTCGCGGGGTGCGCGGACCTCGCCGCCCTCGCGGGCCCTCGCCGCCGCCTCCGGAGCTCCGGTCCCCGCTCCCGAGGGGTCAGCGGGGTGGCGAGGGGCGCCCGCGTCCGCGGCAACGCGCTTCCTCCCAGGTCCGGCTTCCAGCCGCTGCCCCCTCGGGGCATCTCAGCTCCCGCTCCCCGCGCCGGCGCCGGCGGGGAATCGCCGGGTGGGGCGGGCCGGGCGGCTGCCAGGGGCTGCCTCCTCCGGCGCGAGCTCGGCGCGGGCCCCGGGGCGGACGCGACTGGCAGGGGCCCCAGATGGCGGCGGCCCCGCGGAGAGGGTGGAGCCGCGGGGCGGCCGCGCCCCCTCCCGCGGGAGCCGCCCGGGAGCGCTGGGAGTTCGTGCTTCTCCATCGGGCTCTGGGGAGCTCGGGCGAGGCTCCCCCGGAGCTGGGGCCGCGGCCGCGGAGACTCCAGCCCGGAAGCGGGGGCGCGCGGTAGCCCCCAGAGCCGGCTGCGCCGGGCTCCGACGCGCGGGGCGGAGGGGCCCCCGGGTGGAAGCTGGGAGGAGAGGGCGTGCGCCGCCGTGACTCAGGCTCCCGTCCCCGCAGGCCCGGGGGACCAGACGAGGCCCTTGACACAGCCCGAGAACCCCCACCCGGCCCGCGGAGCCGGAGCTCTCTGACCCCGGGCGGGGTGTCCGGCGCCTGGGGACGCGCGCCACCGCCGCTGGGAAGCGCTGGGGCACACCCGGGCTGCGAGCCTCAGGCTGCCTGGGGCGGGGGACGGGGGGAGCGGCTCCCGGGAAGCGCGGAGAAGGGACCCCGGGAGGCAGCCAGGGGCGCGGCAGCCTGGGGTCCTTCCGCGAGGACCGGCTGGAGGAGCAGGTGCCTGCTTTGCCTGTGGTTGGTCGCCCACAACAAAGGCGATTCCTGGAGATCCAAATTACAGGGTGCGGGAGGCCATGTGGAGTCTTATTATCTGGACGTGGGTTTTGTTCTCCACCCGGGAGGTACCCCGCGGTACCGGGAAGGAAGCGCCCCTGGACATCCTGACATGCCGTGCGCTCCCCCGACACCTACTGTGTGCCGCCAGCTTTGGGGGCGCTGGACATGCAGCAGCGACGAGACAGGCTAATCTGATACTGTTGAGGACTTAACAGACACCCAGGGTTGTAAAAAGGAGACGATGCTCGCCCTTCGGGAGCCTCGGGAAACACTGCAGGACTTGGAAGTCCGAGGCTCACCCCCAAGCCTTCCCGGAAGAGGGCAGGAAACTAAAATTTTCTAAGAGCCTAAGGGTGTCTGTCTCCATTGGAGGGTGCCATCCCGTCCTCAGGCCCCACGAAGACCCGCAAACGCTGTCACATTGGGTAAATCGAGCCTGGCCCTACAGCTCTGCGGTCCACCACCGGCCTTGCTCTCAGGAAGCTCTGCACTCCTTGCCAATAGGTGCCAGGGAGGGCCTGAGACAGGGGAGTCTAGTCGTCCATATGTCCTTGGTCTGTGCCAGGCCCGGCACACAAAGGGAAAATGAGACACAGATCTGGTAACTTCACGTGCCTCTAAGTGTGATGGACCCAAAACCCACAAAGGTACCAGCGTTCGGGTCGGCTGCTGTGAGCCGCCCGGGCATATGTCATTCCAGCTCTCCTCCTATGCGTGTTAATGGGGTCGCTTTATTAGTTAACAAAAGAGTTATCCCAGCCAGCCAGAGCCACTTTTAACAGCCTCTGAGCCGCCTGTCCTTGCCCACATCCTGCACATCCTCTGGACTGGCTCCAAACTCCATAGTTCCCAGGCATTTCCCCACTTCCCATTTAGTCCTCAAACACCCGAAGATGCAGTTTCACTTCTCAGATGAAGAAATGGAGGCTCGAGGATCACAAGCGTCTCCCAAGGCCATTCATTCAGGAGAGCAGCACTGGGCTGCGGTGAGGACAGGAAGGTTTGTCCTGGCACTTTCCTGGGGTTCCATCCCCCTTCTAGAAGCTCCCCATCAGCTGGGTCTACTGTTGGAAGTGGCAGGCAGTGGCCACCAAGGCCACTGCTTTTACCTCCAGGTCATCTTTATTTAAACCAAGAGTGAATGTTTCTGGGGGCCCTGCAAGTTTTTGCTAATGTAAGAAAAAAAAATTTGACCCTTAGAATACTTTATTTCCTTCCAATTTTAAAATAAAATAGATGGTTCCATGACCCCCAATAGTGTGACTGGCTCTTGTGCCCCCAGTGCCCAGCAGTGGTGAGCAGGCCTGTGTTGCATTGCAGGGGTAAGTACCCCAGACGCCCTGGGGAAGGTTTTGCTTGAACCATGTGGGAGGAGAAGGGACCAAGGGCTCTCCCAGCCAAGGGCAGGGAACTTGCAAGCATGGAGGGACTTGCAGGTGGGACAGGCAGAAGAAGAAGCAGAAATGGACAGGAGTAAGAGCCTTGGCTGAGTGGTGGGGGGGGGGTCTATCCTCAAAGGCCTGGGGAGCCCTGGAGCCAGTGTGTGGGCGCTCAGCCTGAGTCCCAGAGCGAGTGGAGGGAGGGAGGGAAGAGAGAGCCTGTGGGCACCGAGCGTCCAGCCACCAGGGAGAGCTAAGGAGCAGCACCCGGAGGAGAGGACTCTTTCCTCACCAAGGAGCTGTCAACAGTCGTTCCCCACGCCAGTGCCTGAAAGCAGCTTCTATCCAGAGGGGCGCCTTTTCCTGATTCTCTAACCCTGAGGGGGTCCCTAAGGGGAGTCATGCATCACTTAACCTGCTTTCCAGCAAAGAGGGACCACATAGAAGACACCCTCTGTGGTCCCTCTATACCGTCTAATGTGCTGGGGGCTGGTGTAATTATGCTGACTTTGCACAAGGATGGCATCATCTACCTGCATCCCTCCTGCCAGGTATCCCGGCCAATCAGTGACATTTGGCTGTAAATTCTAACAAAGGCCCCTTAGAGGCTGGCAGGGTTTTAGACTGAGCCATATGGAAAGAGGAGAAGCTACAGGCTGCAGTGCCTGGTCAAAACTGCTGGTCTGAGGGCCATGGGGCTACCTCCCAAGCATCTGGATTGCAGGGGCAGGAATAGAAAAAGAAAGTGGGGGGGGGGACAGAATGAGGTCACAAGCTGGCATCTTTGGAGGCTGCATCACAACCAGAACTTATTTTTGCAAGCCTCTCTCCCCTCCATGCTCTGGCCCAGATCCTTAGCCAATGTCGGGGGCCTCTGGGTCTCCAGGGTCTCCAGGGGCCCCTCAGGCTCCCAGCATGGCTGGTCCCTGCCTGAGGAGGCAGCATCCCTGGCATGCTCCTCGCTTTAGTGGTTCCAGGGGATGGTCCCACAAAGGCAGGGCCTGGCTGATGGCTGGAAGGGAGGAACTGTCAGTGGCGTCCCTAAAGGAAGTTGCTAAGGGGTAAATATATCAACCTCCCTAGATTCAAGTTTACCTGCAATTTGGCCAGGGAGGTGACCACATGGCGCGGCAGACCTCTCCTGTCTCCCCGCTGCTCCCCTCAGCAGTGTGTTTCAGTAGATCTGCCTGTTCAGTTCCCTGCTCTGTCTCTGGCGAATCCTCTCACCCCCGCTCCTCTGACCTGTACCCCAGTTCTTGTAAGCATAAATAAATTAAATCTTTTAAAAAAAAGAACAAAAGCCCATCAGTCATAAAGCCTATGAATGTCAAAGGGACTTTCCACGTAGATGTAGATTGCAAATGAAGTCATCCCTTGTTCAACTCCAAAGGAATTCCAAGCCTGAGGTTTATCTCCAGGTATAAGCCAAACTTCAAACTGTGCATGTGTGCACGGAAGGAGTGGGAGCCAGGGATGTCAACTCCAGCCACTTAAATTTGAAAATAAAGCAGCCAATAAAATTTATGTTTTTAGGAAAAAAAGAACACTGGAAAGTTCTTGCCCAGTAGTAACTTCTTGAGTGTTCAGGTGAAGAGGCGGTGGCATCCCAAGAGAACCGTCACACGTGGGAAAACAAGTAACTTCTCCAAAAACACAGAAATCGGGGAAAAGAAGATGTAGCTCCAAGCCTGCCACTCTCCGGTTCCCTGACAGTTACCCCCCAACACACACACGATTTTCTTATAAAATATTTCAAACATACAAGGAAAAAAAATCTGTTCTCGCCATACATACCTCTCAGCTTGAACAAATCTAAACATTTTGACACATTTGCCACAGGATAGTTTTTAAGAAAAAAAATAGCACAGAGACTGTTGAAGCTGCTACAGAAACCTCCGTGCTCTGTTCTCCTCCATCCCTCCCAGAGTGAACCCTTCCTGCAGCGGCAGCTCACCAGACACACCACTCTCATGCCCCCCCATAAATGATATAAATCCATGACTTTCATATGTTTAAACTTTACATAAACGGCATCAGCCTATACTTAGGATTCTGGGAACTATCGAAACGGTTTGCACTTTGCCCACATAGTACAGTTTATTCTCAAACACACTCACTTATTCATCCAGCTTTGTTTGTTGCACATCTGCGGTCATCGCCCTCAAGGTTGGCTCACAGATGAACCTTACCTCTCACGCTCTGATCTCAGATTCCGATTCTAGGGGAACTGGCCTAATAAAACACACTTAATGTGCAGTTGCACAAGCTATTTATTTACTGGGATGATGTAATCAATCAGAAAATACAGGGTAACCTTCCTGCCCCTAACAGTTGGTACCAGAGAAAGGCTAATTCTAAGGAGCA